ACATCCGAATGCTGAGAGAGACTACAAGGACTGTGCTGTTTGGCATTACAGCAGGATTTTTATTTGAAAAAATGATTTAAAATACAGAATACTTTTTACTTTAATGTACAGATGTCTGCACTCCTATATGCAGTGATGCTTGGGAAAGCATACATAGATGGTTTAATTATTATCATTAGAAACGTTCCTTGTAGTTTGTCTTATAGAACACTAATAGTTGGGTTAATGATTTATGGGAGGTGTTTGGTGTTTAAAGGAGGTATTTGTTTGGCACATTGGAAAAATCGGATTGAAACGGCCACATTATCTTGTGATGTGGGACATGGCATTGTTGTCCTTGTACTGTCAGAGTCTTAAAAATTGATAAAATACTTTTTGCTCATTAAGAAAGCTACTAAGTGTTATGCTAATAGACCATGGTCCTTATTCACTACTTAACAGTAGAAGCCTTATGCATCCATACTAAAATGTTTCTTTCCAACTTGTTTTAACAGAATTAAATTATGCATGCAAACAACAATGTCATGGCAATCACTGAAAGCAATACTGTGACTAACTGCCATTTTATGAGCTCTACTCAGAAATACAGCTAATTGAAAATCATCAGATTGGCAGTATATTTTATTTGTTTTGTTGTGCCACACTTTAAATGTGCAGGGCAAGTATAAGTTCAACCAAGTATCTACATGTATATCAAACCTAACATACATTTGTGTTTTTCCATGGCAAAACTTTGGTGATAAAATTGGGCTTTTTCTCAATGATGGCATAATTTATATTTTAAACTCCATATATCTTTCTTTTTTAAAAAAAATGCATGCTGTATCTTGTTTAGGACCGTAATTTTGCTTAAGAGCAGAGTGCTAAAATGATTTTAAACAAATTGTGAACCCACAGTCACCTGGAAATCATCTGTTTGGAGCTGAACTTTTTGCTCCACCAGCCCAGAATGAGTCTCAGCCCTCAAATCAGACCTCATCCATTCCAGCAGATCTATTCAACACCACAACATCCTCCACCGTCAATGCCCTTGGTATAATGTATTCTATCTATCTATCTATCTATCTATCTATCTATCTAATGATGACAGCAATTCCCCCTTTAGCCAGAATCCTTTATTGAGAACCTCAATAAACAACCCACCAATCTTAAATGGGTTATACAAATCAGGTCCTCCTGTTCTCCAAACCCCTCTAAGTAATGGATCAAGTAAATCAGTGGAATGGTTTCAAACCAACCTGCCAAATTCTTTTCAAAATGGAGGCTTGATGGTCCTTTGCCCCCCACCTCAAAACTCAAAATCTGGATGCATGCGGAGGAGAGAGAAGGTGAACATTTGACAGGAGAAACTTCTGACTGAGAAAGTTCTCAGTCTGTATTACTGCACATCCGAATGCTGAGAGAGACTACAAGGACTGTGCTGTTTGGCATTACAGCAGGATTTTTATTTGAAAAAATGATTTAAAATACAGAATACTTTTTACTTTAATGTACAGATGTCTGCACTCCTATATGCAGTGATGCTTGGGAAAGCATACATAGATGGTTTAATTATTATCATTAGAAACGTTCCTTGTAGTTTGTCTTATAGAACACTAATAGTTGGGTTAATGATTTATGGGAGGTGTTTGGTGTTTAAAGGAGGTATTTGTTTGGCACATTGGAAAAATCGGATTGAAACGGCCACATTATCTTGTGATGTGGGACATGGCATTGTTGTCCTTGTACTGTAAACTTAAAAATTGATAAAATACTTTTTGCTCATTAAGAAAGCTACTAAGTGTTATGCTAATAGACCATTGTCCTTATTCACTACTTAACAGTAGAAGCCTTATGCATCCATACTAAAATGTTTCTTTCCAACTTGTTTTAACAGAATTAAATTATGCATGCAAACAACAATGTCATGGCAATCACTGAAAGCAATACTGTGACTAACTGCCATTTTATGAGCTCTACTCAGAAATACAGCTAATTGAAAATCATCAGATTGGCAGTATATTTTATTTGTTTTGTTGTGCCACACTTTAAATGTGCAGGGCAAGTATAAGTTCAACCAAGTATCTACATGTATATCAAACCTAACATACATTTGTGTTTTTCCATGGCAAAACTTTGGTGATAAAATTGGGCTTTTTCTCAATGATGGCATAATTTATATTTTAAACTCCATATATCTTTCTTTTTTAAAAAAAATGCATGCTGTATCTTGTTTAGGACCGTAATTTTGCTTAAGAGCAGAGTGCTAAAATGATTTTAAACAAATTGTGAACCCACAGTCACCTGGAAAGTTCAACCAAGTATCTACATGTATATCAAACCTAACATACATTTGTGTTTTTCCATGGCAAAACTTTGGTGATAAAATTGGGCTTTTTCTCAATGATGGCATAATTTATATTTTAAACTCCATATATCTTTCTTTTTAAAAAAAAATGCATGCTGTATCTTGTTTAGCACCGTAATTTTGCTTAAGAGCAGAGTGCTAAAATGATTTTAAACAAATTGTGAACCCACAGTCACCTGGAAATCATCTGTTTGGAGCTGAACTTTTTGCTCCACCAGCCCAGAATGAGTCTCAGCCCTCAAATCAGACCTCATCCATTCCAGCAGATCTATTCAACACCACAACATCCTCCACCGTCAATGCCCTTGGTATAATGTATTCTATCTATCTATCTATCTATCTATCTATCTATGCTTTCATTTTTTGATGTTGTTTGTATTTAATGTAATTACTGTGTTCTGTAGGGTCATTGTCTCTGGGCTCTACTTCTGTCACTCAGACTCCTGGGACAGCTCCATCTCTATGGAGTCAGACTCCCACAATGTTTCCTCCTCGGGGTGGTGTTCCTCAAGTAATGGTTCCAGGACAGCCAAACCCTTTTCCTCAACCACTTGCTTTTGGAGGCCTGTCTGCACCTGTATGGGGGCAGCAAGGAGCTTCCCCTTTTGGTCCACCAGCTGTCACTCAAGCCTGGGGTCAACCAGGAACCGCAGCACCTGGTGGTGCCTGGTCCACCTCTGGTCCTGTGGCAAGCCCTTTTGCAAACCAATTTGCTCCCATGATGCCTCCTAATGCAATGATGGGTATGCAGCAGAGTGCAGTGGTTCCTCCTCGACCTCCACCCCGTCCTCCGGTGAAGGAAGATCCCCCACTGGTCAAAAGCACCTTTACAGCTTTGGACCCCCTAGGGGAGAAAGAAAAGAAGACCGGAAAAGATATGTTCAAAAATTTCCAGATGGCTAAGCCCCAGATAGCAGAACAAGGAACTGGTCCGAGCACCAATGGCTCATTTGACCATTACTTTTCCAGCAAGGTTGGCTTGGCTCAGGAGGTGGCAGATCATGATGACTTCGACATAAACCAAATCTCAGTTAACTCAAATGGTATTCATTTAATTAACAGCTGTATATAGACTGTATAGAGCATAGCGATTTTGTTGGTTTTATAAATACAGTTCCTCATCTTGTCCAGGGACCTCCAAACTTGCTCCTCAGCAGTCTCCTCCTACTCAGGGAGTACCTCAGGGAGCAGGCCTGACTCTGACCCTGGCCCAAGCCACAAGGCTTTTAGATGCTGCCTTCACTTCTAATCCAGCCCCTGCACCCTCAAACCCAACTCCCACAGCAGGCTCAAACCTTTTTGATGACACTTTTGGAACTGACCCTTTTGGAGCCCCTTCCATGAATACAGTATGTACTTTTGAATTGGAATTCTAAAAGCGTATAGTGTCCAAAAGACGTTCTGGGTGTTTCAGTTGATACTGTGGTTTTGGGATTGCAAGTTTGTTGACATTTTACATTTTTCTGTATGAATTTTGCCTGTTTTCTATCCCAGAGCACTCCAGCCACTCAGACTGCTGCCCTTGCAGATGCATTTGGAGACCCGTTTGGGGGAAATCCTTTTGCCTGAGAAACTTTAGCACTGTTGGTGAGAAACTATAAAGACACTCACTTAAATATTTCCTTAAATGTTTTGATATCTTATATATTGTATAAGTATCTCTCTAAGAAATGTGATTTGCAGTATGTGTTGAAATAAATATATTGCCTGTTCATGTACTTATTTCAGTACACTCCCACTGATCCAGTGCTACTGAGCCAGAGGACCACACAAGCACTGTAGAGTTGCGATCAGCATTCTAATACTTGGAAAAGAAATGTGCTCGTAAAACCCCTTTTCTTGTATTCCGTTCTCATTCCCACTATATATCTGCTGTAGCCTCTCTTTATGTGCCTTTCTAACTGATCACAGATCAGCCCTTCTTCTCCAGCCCATTCAAATGAACCCATTTAAATCCCAAGTCACTCATGAAATAAGATGCACAGTTAAAGTAGGGTCCTTGTAGAGAGTTTAATAGAGAAGGTGAGGGAATAAAAGACGATGATCGTTTTTGTGCACATGATTTTTCTGTATGCAAGTATCCCGAGCATTTATGATGACGTAAAAGTGCTTAATCTTAATGATTTGTCATTAAAGAAAGTGAATAAATATCTGGCTTTGTGAGTGTTTTTGTGATCTTTGTTGTCACATTCTCAATTTAAAATCAGGTAGTAAAATCAGAGCAATTATTAGTGTTATGCAATGCATCTTAATATATCTGGCTCTAAATGCTGTTTACAAGACTGAAGAATTCTCTAGAGCTGAGATAAAGGTTGAAAGTACATACTGTTATACAACAAAGTTGGTAACTATGGTGAAAGAAAGAGCACCAAGATGTGACCAGATTACAGAGGCCATTAATGCAATGACACTATTGCCAGTGGGCCCATTGTCATGCGCCAAGAATTTGCCATTACCCCTTCAGTTCTATTTATACAGACAGGATGGCATCAGTCGGTGTATGTTAGATTGTAACACAGGGTTGAAAGATTTGCCAAGCCTCTTTGTTGACATTTGGGATTGGATAACTGGATAATTTGGGATAAAGGTTTAATAGACAAGAACAGTATAAAAGAAGTGAGTGGCAACTTTCTGTAGCATTTCGCAAGTTGGCAAATCAAATTTACTCTGACTGCATCAGCATCAGGTATTGGAAGCTCCAAAACAGTGTTTTTCAGTTTTGAAATTGTTTAAAGATGCCTCGTCCTTTGTTTCAAAGAAATGGTTGCTGGGACCCTTTTCAGGAGAAGACCCAAAACCTTTTCAACCAAAAAAACGACCTCCCCAATTTCCTCGAGCCAGATGAGATTAGCTGGATAGAATCGGCAAGGAAAAGATTGGGGACACCGACCTGGCCAGGATCTGTGCGTTTACCTCTCCTCAGCTCTTTGTGCATGGAGGTTCCACCTAAATCATGTACTGGATCAGAAGAATGCAATTCTGAATCTGTGTGTGAACAAACGAAAGGACCGCAAAACTGGAAAATCTGTCTAGATGTCAGTCCATTTTCTCCAGAGGAGATAAACATCAAAACCAAGGAGGGATATTTGGAGATTACAGGTATGATGACTATAGGAGCCATGCAAATATTCATGTGTGATGTCATGCGACTGTGGGAAAATGTGGGAGTGTCATTAATTATTTGAGAGTTAAAACACCTGTTGTGAGTGGGGTTTGTTAGGGAAAGAAGGGGGTGAGTGCGGGAACATGCATTTTTTTTGTTGTTGACCATTTATTCAAACTTTTGCATTGATAATCTGCCGATCCTTCAAGAAATGCATGCCTCAATGAACAAGTTGTCGGTGGACAAATAAATCTCAAGACGCAAATGTAAAGGATGATTGACGTGTCAAGTTATTCCCTCACTCAGCTCCTGCGGCTTTAGTTAGTTTTTTGGCCGCTACAATGACCTTGATATGTCTGGCTTTATTCCACCTGTAAAATGTATAAAGCACCATGTATTTATGTAAAAATAACTAGCCTATGCCATGACATTACATGCTGCAGATCACATTTCCTAAATACTTCAATGGCATGTTCTTCTACGTCTGTTTTCTTTCAAAGGTAATCACGAGGAAAGGCAGGAGCATCACAGATGGATCTCAAGAAGCTTTACAAGAAAATACAAGTAAGAGCTTTTTTTTCATTTAAGTAATTTCTCTTGTATTAAAAAATTACAACAAAAGAATGTTATTTCTCAAAAACTGAACCTAACAGGAGATTATGCAGTGTGTATAGTATTAATTAATTAATTTTTTTACACACAGTATGCAGGTTTTTTACTCTATTACAGCTCTACACAATATACAGTGTTACTCCATGATTACTCAAGGCTGTTTTCATTTTTCTTGTGTCACTCATTAGGCTTCTGGCTGACTTAGACCTAACACAGATCAGCTCCATGCTGTCTTCAGATGGTATTCTCTCAGTCGAGGCCTCATTACCTGACTCTAATATCAGTCTCCCCGGAGAGATTATCATCCCTATTCACATGATGGACAAACAGTTATCTGCAAAATCAGACGGGCAATGCATAACCAGTAACTTATAGACCTAGTTACTGGTTAGGCACAGCCCGTCTTACTTAATATGTATATGTGAATATATGTGTGTTAAAAGTAATGAATGCGTTTTCATAACTTTTTATTTTTGATGGCTAACATTAGAAGCATTTGTAAATACTGGCTTTGCAAGGGAATATTTATCATATTATGAACCATTACCAAAAGATTACAGCGACAGTAATATGCTTAATAGATCAGTTCGGCTGTTACTTTGGTTTAAAAATAATTATGCAATACATAATTTGTGCTGTATAAGAATACGTCTAAAATGATCACTCCTATGTAACCAGCAACTAAGGAGACTAAGGAGAGATTAGATTTTCCAGCTCGCTCTTTCTCACTTTTTCAGGCTACACTTTAAATAAAAGAAAAAAGTGGGGCTAGACTCATACTGGGGATTGTATTGTATAATGCCAGGATAATCATTTTGATTTTGAAAGACTATTTTAATAAATCTGTTTTGAGAATGATACCTTGTGTTACTGAATGTCATTATTTAACAGTCTAAAGAGGCTACATACTGAAATTGATCAATAATTAGGAAAGCAAATACCTAAATCTGATCATGCTGCTGAGTAGAGCTTCAGGTGACATTCTCTTAGTTGTGGAAATTGATTCTTTCAAGAGATTTGTTCATTTTCAGTTTGTTCACCAAAATGATTCGTTCACTGATTTGTTCAGTGACCATTTCTTCATATTACATAAATACGCCAGCAGGTGGCGAAAAAGTGTAACAAAAAGTCTTGTGTTATGTCTTCAATCGACGAAAGTATTTACTTGTTGCAAAAAAGCTCATTAGGCTTTATTAAAATGTGTGCCTAATCTATTCATTGAGTAAGTAAAATAAGTCTAAATAAGTAGTTCAGATGACCAAAGCACAAGGTTTTCTTACATAATTAACATGAATTGTTTGGTCAGACATTTACATATTCATAAATCTGGGTTTATATTAAACGTGTCGTGAGTTATGTTCTATGTTAAATATTAATATTTAAACAAGCGTATGTGCACAATAGCCTACCTTGGCTATAACTGCGCTTTGCATCCGCTTTCTGCTGATTGCTGAACGAGATTGACTCTAATGCTAAATGACCGACCCTGTGTACACTCATTAATTTCATTCACGAACGAGATGTATATGGGGTGAAATTGGTCTCAAATTTACTTGCATAAATGCATGCACAATTATCCATGAATTTGATAAATATTGCAAATGTATCTCACTATCCACAACCAAATTGCCTGTCTGTGAAATTCAGAATTACATGAACATGCAGCGATTTGTACGTTTGTGAATGCAGATGTTTTCTTTTGCATTAGTGTATCAGAATTTGCACATGCAACAAGGAAGATGTGCATTTGTGGATCAAGTGGCACGCCTGAATTCATTGGCATGATTTCCAATCAATCCTGTTTGATTCATTTGGATATTGACCCTTTCTTTGTGCAGTTTTCAGCATTTCACAACCCAAGCACAAACAACTACCAATGTGCTATAGCCCAGTGCTATTGATTAATGTATGCACATCTACCCATCCATTAGAAAAATTCACAAATATATTTTACTATCCACAAACAAACACCTTTCATCTTGTGTCTGTGACATTCAGAATTACATGAAAGTGCAGCATTTGTTCAAAGAGAGACAAATTTGTGAATACAAATGTTATATTTTGTATTAAAGTATCCCTATCATAATTTGTGCACGTGGAGAGGTTTGGACAATTCCAAGGGCCCTACGTGGGAGGGGGCCCCGGAACGCAATTACTACAGAGGGGACATGCCCTCTTTTTGGACCTAAAATCCCAGGCGGGATTTCTAAATCACCCAAAGTGTCCGGGATTCAGATTTTCTCTGGATTTCAGTTCTGGATTTTTCTTTCTACAGGACTTCGCCATTCATTGTGTGCGTTTTTGTATTTAAGCTCTGTGCAGGACTGTTTTCTTAATCCTGCTCCCGCTGAATTTCTTACCATTACTGCCTGCTCCCGCAAACATTCTATTATTGCATATCATTTTCACGCAGGGAGACGCTATCAATATGCGGAATATTTAAATTGCTTTGGATGCAGCTTGTGTTGGATGCAGGGTTGGCAGTTCCGCATGTTTTTGCACTGAATTGGGCTGATTTTAAACTGTTGAGGAGGGTTGTTTTTCTGCCGTGGGTTAAATGTTTGAAATATTGCATAAATTAAATTACATTTGACTGAAATGCTTGTATTGAACCATTTTCCATTCTATGATAAAACTGTGGTAGATGTTAAGTTTTGTGAAGGATGCCCACTGGCTGTGTTTATGATCAATCTGCATAACGGTGACCATAAAGTATGTATTTTAGGTAAGGAAATTATTGTAGCGAATCAGCTCATGGGGAAATATGAATAATTAACCATAACTAGTTATAATTAACTATTCATATTTTAGATCCGCTGTAGATATTTAGCTGACCTCTCAGGGTCAACTGTCTTGTCAATTCCAAGAACGTTAATTTCCTGGTTAAGGGAAATAACTTTCTTACTGTACAATTCTACAAGCTTGTAACGTAAATCTGCATGATTAGTGACTCCGGTTATGAGCAAACAATGAACACGTCAAGTGTGATACAAGTAAGATTTTATTAACTACATAAACACTTAAACTAGTCAAACATACTACATAAACACATTAAGCTGGTCCAACATATATTTTGAGTTTTGATATGGTCATTGCGCTAATTTGGGGGCTACTTTAAAATCCCACCCCCCACCCCCATCTGCATCTTGCCCCCACTGTCCTCTGTTTGGAAAACTAAAATATGGTCACCCTAGAGAAATGCTCTTTTCATACGGCTTGCTCTTAATTATGCATCACTTTATTTTTATATTAATTGAATTGGACTCAAGATGATTCTGAAAGAAAACTCTAATGTTGCTGTAGTAATGAACACAACTTTCACATGTATCTGATTGACAGATAAACAGTAGGCTACTCTCTTATTTCAGTGTTTTTTATTTTGTGGATATTTCAGCTAACACTTTGCTTATTTGTACATTCAGTTTAACAACATTAAGTTCAAAGTTAAAGAACACGCTGACTCAGAGTGCCACTCACATAGTTTTCCATAAAATCACATTAAATAATTTTAATGTATACAATGTCTTCCTAGGCCTGAATTTTGTGTTGCTATTGTGCATATTTCAGCACAACATTTGTCTTTCTGTCCTACAGAGTGCTAATAATAGCTATAGATCAGTAGCCAACCACTGGGAAACACTAATGTGCCGTGACAGGTGTGCCGTGTAAAATATATTTGTGAATTTTTCTAATGAATGGGTAGATGTGCAAACATTAATCAATAGCACTTGGGCTTATTCGTTGATAGTTGTTTGTGCGGGGGTTGTGAAATGCTGAAAACGATTTCTACCAAGGGGGGCCCCAAGTTAACATGTTCAAGGGGCCCAGAAACTGTAGCAGCACCCCTGTTCACAAACATGTTTCTATTTGTACAAATCACTGCATGTTCATGTTATTCTGAATTTCACAGACACAAGTTGACAGGCATTTGGTTGTGGATGGTGATATACATTTGCAACATTTATCAAGTTCATGGATAATTGTGCATGCATTTCTAAGTAAATTTGAGACTAATTTCATCCCATAGATGTACCAGTTCATTTAATTCGTTCACGAATGAGATCTCTCTTTCGTTTAGACTCAAAACATCGACTCGGTCAGTGATGGGCGTATTCGCTCAGTAGATCAAGCCATTCGTGAATGGAACAAACCAGTTGTTGAACAATAACGCACAATGTGGTTGAATAGTCCCACCTTCTAAATGAATGAGCCAATTGCTGATTGCTAAAATCATTGTGTCACCGCAGCAGCTGTTAGAAGCTCTGGTTCCCATAGAAACCTGAGGCTAGACCAGCCAATGCGTATGTGCAGTCTTAAGCACGTTATGACTGTGCATGCACATTGGCTGGTCTAGCCTGAAAAATAAGCTTTTTAAATGCTCTTTGAGTATAAGAAACAACATTCATGGGGCAGTTCATCTCAGATTTTGTTGCTGATTTGAAATATGTAATATAATAATATAGGACTTGGTCTTGGATGAGCTGCCCAGAGGCCTTGCAAATATGGTTGCAGAGAACAGATTTCCTTGTTTGTTTTTTTAACATTATTTGTTGTATTGTATTCGTTCATTACATTCAACAAATCACATGCTCCGTCACATCTAATACTCGAAGGCTATTGGCTCGAGGTTTAGTCATTCTTTGACAGAATGAAATGGTCCACAGAGCTACCCGGTTCACAGAGCTATGCATGCGCTGCTAATAGTGCCGTAATGCTCTGGAGGGAGGGATTTTAGTGAACGAGAAATATTAGTCAGTGGATTACGTGAATGAAAAACGATTCGTTCCCCTAAAAGATACATTCAAAAAGAATGATTCGTTCACTAATGTAACATCACTACATCCTCAAGAAGATGGTGCTGCCTGGTATTTAAAGCCGTAGAGCTGACACCAGATTCTCTGTGCTTTTAACTTCATACTACCATACTGCTTGCGTTGCCGGTCATGACACTGTCAACGCAAAACCTTCCTTATTTGGTCTCCTTTTTGGGGTGATCAAACGTATAAAGGCAGGTTTCTTTTTACCTTTGTACCCTGATTATTTTTGTATGTGTTCCACAGCTTTCATCATATACTCATGAGCAGTCTTCAAATGACATTTCTCAGGTATACTATGCACAGTAAACAATAGCAATATGTTTTGCCAAATGCTCAGTATTTTCCCTTGTTCTTTTACTTTTGTATGATTCAGTTATATCTCTAATATAAGTTGGCACGAGAATGTATCCTCAAGTTACAGAAATACCAACACAATGCCTTTTTTAGCATCCATAATATGACAAAATGCTTCAAAAAGTAAGATGTGTTTTCTGAAGTCCACAGTCAACGCAGCCATCTACCAGGAAATTTTAGAGCACTTCATGCTTCCTTCTGCTGACAAGCTTTATGGAGATGCTGATTTCATTTTCCAGCAAGACTTGGCACCTGCCCACACTGTCAAAAGCACCAAAAGCTGGTTCAATGACCATGGTGTTACTGTGCTTGATTGGCCTGCAAACTCGCCTGACCTGAACCCCATAGAGAATCTATGGTATATTGTCAAGAGGAAGATGAGAGACACCAGACCCAACAATGCAGATGACCTGAAGGTCGCTATCAAAGCAACCTGGGCTTCCATACCACCTCAGCAGTGCCACAGGCTGATTGTCTCCATGCCACGCCGCACTGATGCAGTAATTCATGCAAAAGGAGGCCCAACCAAGTATTGAGTACATGTACAGTAAATAAACATACTTTCCAGAAGGCCAACAATTCACAAAAAATGTTTTTTTTATTGGTCTTATGAAGTATTTTAATTTGT